AAGTCAATGATGTTTTCTTTTTTCGGGGTGCAATAAACAAACAAAAATTCAGTTTTGATGATGATGGAACCCATTCATTATGAGATTTTAAATTTGTTTTTTTTGTTTTGATTTATATCCAGTTTGAACGTGGTTTTCAAAACGATTTTTGAATGATGGAAATTTGTTTTTAAAACAAAAAACAAAACAAAAATGATTTTAATCAACAACAACAAACAGTAATGAAAGAATGGATAATCACGTTTTTTTCGGGCAGTTTTAGCATTGTTTTGATTGAAATTTTAACCCGAAAAACAAAAACAAAAACAGAAAACATTTTGTGAGTGAAATTTGAATGAAAAAATGCTTTGAAAAAAAAGGGGCGAGTAAAAATAGATCATTGAGAAATAGGTACCAAAATCGTAGCATCAATTTTTTTTAAAAAATTCAATAAAATGCTGAATTTCGTTCTGGATCTATCTATCTATCTATCATCGAAAATGGAATGAGAAACAAAAAAAAAGTGAAAGAGGTAAACGATGAAACACACAGTATGTGTGTGTGTTTGTTTCGTATCCAAAGAAGCAGCATATCGAGAAGATAAAGGGTATTTTTTCCCCCTCCTTTGCATAAAGAGGAACAAATATGGCAACCCGATTCATTTTCATCATCATCATCATTATTATTATTTCGTTAAAACATCCAACCAACCAAACAAACACTACGAATAAGAACTAGTTTTCATTATGAATAAACTAGGGAAAGAAGAAAAAACTGGGCGCATAATAAAGGCAAAGAAATTAGTAAAAAAATTCATCATAGTAGCATCCATAATGGCGGCGACGGTTATGTGTGTGGACCTTGTTTTCCCATTGAACCAAAATAGTGCAAAAAGTTTCATTCTTTGTTTGTTTGTGGTGGATAGAAGAGTTAAAATGAAATGAAACAGAAACACAGAGCGTATACAAGAGAGACACACACTAACTATACACAAACACACAGAGAAAATGCGTGAAACGGTTAAACAAGAAAACTGAAAAAAAGTTGGATCGATCAGAAATCCAAACCAAGCAAGCCAGTCATAAACAGCCTAGTCTAAATATATCGAAATAATATCGGGGCTTTTTGAACATCGAATCATCATCATCATTCGAATATTGTGAACCAAACAGAAAATGAATAGTTGAATGTGAACTTGTGTTGAATTTTTGTGATGTATATTATAGGCAGGGGTTAAATTTAAAAAAAAAATGAAATCATTCTTGCAATTCTTGTGAATTTTTTTTTGTGAAGAATTTCGTTTCGTAAAGCATAAAGTTTGTCATTATCATCATCGTCTTCGTCTTTCGTCTTTGTCATTAACTCTTTAATTATCCACTCTCTCTTTCAGTTGATTTAATGTTTTGCTATTGGTTTCATGTGTTAACCCAGTGATTTCAAAAAAAAAATTTCCTCAAAAAATTCTTCAGCAATTTTTCATATGAATTTCACTTGAATATTCAAACAAACAAACAAAATGCAAGAATATTCTGTCAGCATAAACAAAGTCATCAAACTGGAAATTTTTTCTTGGTAACGACGAAGACGACGACGAAAATTCGTAATGTATTTTTTTTATAAAAAAAGTAACTACATTGTAATAATTTTAGTTTCTTTCAATTATTTAGCCATAAATAATCCAGATGACAAACATGATGATGATATCATCAACAAACGACTGACAGAAATAAAGATCAAAAATAATCAACGATAACTGCAGCAATAACAACAACAAGATTTATATGCCAAGAATTTTTTTCCAATTTCAATTTTGTCTGTGTGTTAATCTTACCCAAGAAAAAAGATTTCCTAATAATTTTCTTGTCTGCATTTTTTTTGTTGGTAGTAAATTAAATCGTTCATTGACACGTTAAATCAAATTCAAAAATGTCTACAGTCAGAATGTTGATGTTTGAAATGTTGAATAAGATAAACTGGATGATAATTTTCGATTTTGATTTCTGAATTATCAGGTAAATAAATCAAGATACCTTTCCTGCTGCTGATTTAATTAATGTTATTTTTTCTTCTTTCATCTTAGATTTGCATCATTTCTTCGTTTGTTATTCTTTTCTTAAATCGAATGTCATCATTGGAAATCTGATATCCTTAGAAACAAACAGAAAGTATTTTTGATCTGTTGTTTACTTCGTCAACGAATGAGAAATCTTTTCACTTCCATACCGTACATTTTTTCGATTATCAAGATGATGAAAAACTTACAGGAAATTTTTCCTTCTTTTTCTTCGGAATTTTAAGAAAATAAAACCAGTAGAAAACTTGATCGATTCATTCGGGTTAATTTAAAAGAAAATCTTCAACATTTACCATTTGTGATGCAAAACTGACAACAACGATGGAGAGAAAAAAATTAGGGCAATCAAGGAATTCCTGGAATAAAATTTGGAACACCAAAAAATACAAACAAACGAATAACAAACACACACACACATGGACAAATGAAACATCAACAAACAAAAAAATCACCCCAAAAAAACAACAACGGGTTATGTAAAAAATGTAACAGAAAAAATGTTTTTTTTTGAATTTTTGTTTTGCCATTTTTCAAATGAAATGTTTTTTTTTCAAAAAATGAAGATTTCTTGGAAAATTCTCCGAAAATTTGGGCCAACATGAAAAAAAATCCAACAGGAAGAGTTTGATTTTCTGTTGGTTTTCATATACACATCCATGTCAGAAAAAAAACACAATTTTCGTTGATAATCAAACACACCAAGGGGCCAAGGGGTAATTTTTATTTAACCAATGTGTGTGACGAACTAAAACCAGAGAAAAGAAAAAAAAAATTGTTCATTCGAAATGGATGTCACCGCCAATGTGACTCGTTTTTCCCTTCTTCAATACGACAAACAGAAACAGAAAAAAGCTAGGCCAAGGACTTGTCAAAAATGTTACCTATGGAAACGAAAAGTTGAATGAAAACTTTCTTACAAAAAAAAAACAAAAATTTCTGACTTTTGAAAATCTTTTCTCTCACACATTGCATCGGGCAATCGACCGGGTCTGATCTTTTGGCTTTGTCAATGGCCAAAAATGTCACATGTTACCCAGTATAGACTTTTCATTTTCTTCGAAAATGATGTTAATTTGTGAAGAAAGTTGTCCAAAAAAGAAAATGTCAAACAAATATGGAAAGTTGCGATTTTGTTTTTTCTCTCAGCCGCATCAATGCATTCATCATATTTTTTTTTTGGAAACGGTTTCCAGAAACATTGGATGAAAAGGGCTGGTGGCCATCACTCTGTTTGACATTAGGTGTGCAAATGTCATAATGTCATTTGAAATGTTTGAATGATGATGTGTGACAAATGTATATTTTTCTATTGATGATTTGAACCAAAATGAAAGGGATGCGATAAGCGTAGAGAGAAATGAATAAAGAAAGAAAATTTAGATCAAATTTAGACCAAAAAATGAATGATTTGTCACTTGTCCATCACACGATAAGCAAACGAGATTTGCATCAATTTTTCTCTTTGGAAAATTTTTAGAAAAACAAATTATTGATGCATGAAATCATTCAATCGACATCATTTGATGATGATGATGATAATTGTCAATGTGTTCAGGATGTTCGGTATATTTCATTTGTGAATTTTTCTTATCCCCACACAATTATCAATCAATCGATTATCATTTGGGTTGGATTTTTGTCGTCGATGTTGTTGTTGTTGTTAAAGTCAAAAAGTTATTACAAGTTTGAACCACAATTGATTATGGAGAGGATTATCATCATCAATGTTTTTTTTGCATCTTTTTTTCCGAAAAAAAACTATTCATCATAATCATTTTGGGGGGAAAACGTTTTTCAAAAAAAAACAAGGCTCATTACCCCATTAAACAGTAGGGTTATTCACACACGAGAACATAGGGTTCAAAAAAAAAAAAAAAAAAATTTGAATTCGACCAAAGCTTCTTTCCCCTTTTCTACCCTACTGACACACACACACATCACTTACGTCCACCCAGAAAAAAAAGGTGTGTCAACAATGTACGTTACCCATAACATATTTGGCCTTGTGCTAAATATTCATTCATTCTTTCTGTTTGTTTGCTTGTTGGAACACTTTTTTTCAACAACAACAACAACAGCATTTAATCAATTGATCAATTTGAACAACAGCAGCAAAAGGAAAAAAATTTGATTTATCAATAGATCCATATATTTGAATAAAGAAAACGTAGGTAACTCATTTATGACATATCAGATTTTCACTCTTTTTTTCTCTCCATCTTCCGTAGATATCGATTGTTATCGAACCATGGATTCAATGGTTACCTGAATGTCGAAACACACCTCTTTTCTATTATCATCATCAATCGATCGATCGATTGATGTAACCACCATCATTTATAATTTGAAATCGAACAAGGAAAAGAGAAAACAAAGCAATGAAAAACGTAATTCAGTTGAAAATCATCATTAATATCCCCATCATCGATTGGTTTTTAGTGTGTTTGTATTTAACCTTTCCTTATGTATACCGGGGTATTAACATTATCATCATCATCAATGAAAATGAATACATCATTTATCGGAATGTCAATCCAGTGAAAGAAAAACTCCAACTTCTTCCGATTAAAATGATGGATAACATTTCAGGAGAGTTTTTCAGAAAAGAGTAAATTTTAACACGCTCGCCACAAATGCAAAAAAGAAAATCGAAATATTTTTTTGAAAAAACCAACCACAAACATTCGTTTATTTTATTATTAGCACAAGAAGAAAGAAAAAATCATAAGAGAAAGTGACAAAACTAAACTAAAACTAAATTTAGTTTGTTTGAAAATGAATTTATGTTTTTTTTAATATTATTATTTTGAAATCAAAATGTAAACAATTCAAAAATCCATTTGCTCGTTCAATTTTTTTCCCTCAGAAACATTTTGCTTGTTTACCCGAATCCATAATCGAACAAATTCGTTTCATTTCTTTCCAAAATCTTGAATTGAAGGGAGAAGAATATGGTCCACCACCACCAACATGGCCAATTATAACATTTGTCATTTACAAATTAAAAAAAATGACAAATGATCAGCGAAAACAGCATCGGTATATAGCTGACCGGTGAAAAAAAAACCAGGAAAAATTCATACCCAACTAAAGAAAAAAAAAGAAAGAAATTATCAATGAAATTTTTCAACAACAAAACAAAAACAAAAAACGAATAACACTTACCTAGTCCATCCTTCATACATACGTGAAAGATTTTCCATCGATATTGATTCATTAATCAAATGATTAACCTGATCATATATTGATAAACGTTTATTTGGATCCGGATCACGTCCATCTAATTTCATTCGTATTCGTTTCCAAACAGAAAATGCATAAACATTACGTTTATTTTTTCTTGTTTCAATCACCTGTTGTTGTTGATTATTTTTATTATTATCAGATTGTTTTGCCTGATTAGCCAATATCTGTAAATCTTGTTGTGGTTCTTCATTATTAATTTTTGGCCAATCACTATTACGTTGTTCAACTGATTTCATTAATTGTTTTAAACGTTCAATTGCTTCTTGATTTTCTTTTTCCATTTGTTTTTTTGGTATTATTTTACCTTCATTAGCTAATTGTGCAATTTTAGCACCACCATAAATAGCACCAGTAAAACCTTCTTCATGTTCAGGTGTCCAATCAATTAATGGATCATAAACAAATGCTTCCAATAATGTTAATAATGTTTCTTTTCCTTTACGTAATATTTTCAATACATTTTCACATGATATACGAAATGTACCATCCACACCAGTTACACCGAATGTATTGACAATGTTTTGTGTTAGACGACATAATACCATTTCAGGTACACGTAATGTTTTACCTTTTTCAAAACAAATATTATAATCAATATGAATTACTTCACCAGTAGTTAAATCCAATAGAATATTATCTAAATGTCTATCACCAAGACCAAGTATATAGCCAATTACAGACATTATTGCATTAGATGTAATAAAATTCTGTGTTAAATTCCAATGATCAAATGAATTTACTGATGAACACCATAATTCTTTTGCAATCAAATCATTTGGTGTTTCGGTTGATAATTCATCAAATACTTTACGTAATAAATCAGTATTCCAATCATTGCGATTTTCCGACGTCATTCCATGTTCGGCTAATTTACATTTAAATATTTCATTTGCTGTTATACGTTTATTAATATCATCCAATGATATTTCACGATTTGAAAGCCATCGTTTATAAAGATTATATAATGCATGTCCACCTTCAACCCATTGTATTAAACCGGATTTATTACCTAATGGTGTAACCGAATAATGTCGTGCACGTATAAACAAACGATCATTATTAATATTATTATTCTGTTGACTAATTGTTGGTCCAAATTTTGCAATCATTTGATTGATTATTGATAAAAATTGCATAATACGTTCATCAAGATGTAGATCTTCATGACCTTTAAATAGATATGAATAATTACGACCATCCGATCCAATTAATATGATTTTTTTCGGTTTCGTATACGTATGTAATATGGAAACTGTTTTGAATACACCTTTCAACATTACATTCGAACCATTCAAACCAGGCAACGGTATAATTGTATTATCAAGCGTAGCTAAACGTGGACTAATATCATGCATATAAAAACGATAATTATTCGATGCTAATGAACGTTTACGTATTGTTTGAAAAAGATTCTGATAATTAAACAATATATTTGATGGTTCATAAATATTTTCTGGATTTGCAATCGATTCGATTAATTGATTAATTAATTGATTGAAATTTTTTTGAAACCATTCTTCATGCGGTGTTTCCGGTGTATCCGATGTTAACATATTTGTTAATTGTAATGAATAAAGTAATCGACGAAAAAATATATTATGCTGTTCTTTTATAAACAATATTTTCTCTTTTTCATAAAGATTAATATTTTTCCTGGTTTTTTCAATTTCTTTTTCCAATGCAACAACTTGTTTTTTCATTTCATTCATACCATGTTGTAATATACCGATCCATAATTCATCCCATAATACAGTAATTCTTCGTAATTCATGTACAAATAATTTTGCCTGTACAATTAGTTTTGGATCCCTTTGACTTAATGTATCCAATAATGATGTATAACAATTACGTACTAATGATTGATCGATATCTGTGGAATTGACTTCTTCATCATCCTCATCTTCATCTTCATTTTTAGTTGATGTATAATCAAAATTTTTTGATTTAACCTGATCATCTAATAAACCGGTAATAGCTGGAAATATAATTAAATGTGGTGAATCGGATCCAATACGACATAATAATTCACAAATACTTTGTCGTACATATGGTTCATGATGATTTAAACGTGAAAATAATTGTAATGTTATATTTTTCCATGGTTTTGTTGGTGTTTCTTTCAAACCAATTTCCAATATTTCACGTAATTCAGGTGCATGTTTTAATATTAAACGAAGTAAACGTAATGTAGCATCAATATCATCACATCCATTATGACCACTAATATGTAAAAATCTTATATAAGAATTTGCAGCCAATTTATAAAATTCAATAATATTTGCTTCACGTCCATTCGACGATTCGATAACATTGGTCATCATTGTTGTTGTTGCTGTGGTTGTTGTTGATTGTTCACCACCACCAACATCACCAACTGTATCAATATCGCTAAGACGTCTACCCCATCTATAACACCAATCACCTAATTGATACCAAGCTTTTGCCATTGATGGACAATTATTTACCGATAATAATAATAATTTACCACTAATATTATCAAAATAATTTAAATTTCTAATACAAGACATTTTTTCATCGATTGCCAAAAATTTTGTATTCATATCAAGTTTTTCAAATTGTTTCAAACAACAACATTCATTTGAATCTGATTGAATATAATGTACTAATTTCAAGAATATTCGCGATGTACATTCCGACATTGTTTTATTATTATTATTACTATCCGCAGTATATTTTGATGTTGTTTCAAGTAAAATATCAACACTTTTCAATAAAATATTAATAGCTGATTCTTGTTCTTGTTTATCATATAAATATTCCGATGTTTCATAACAAAAATCTAATAGATTTTGATTCAATAATGTATTGTTTAATGAATTTTGAACAATATTGATTAATCGATTATTATTTTCCAATGAATGATCATTCACATTCATTAATGCTGTTACATTGGCAAATTGAAACAATAATTCTTCAGCTAATTGCATGTTTTGTGTTTTTCTTGCTTTACGTGCCGTTTTCAATAGTAATCGATTCAATGAATATTTCATATTATCCTGTTCAATGTGATTAGTTTTTTCATTCAATTTAGCAAACACACGATACCATGATAGACCATTAATTAATTGATCAATATTTAAATCTTCCCATTCAAATAGATCGAAACGAATTTTTTCCGATGTTGTTGTTGTTGTTGGTGGTGGTTGAATAATCGCACGTAATTGATGAGATATTTTTTGCAACATTGCAAAATGAATTTCCACCGACATACCACACATATTAAACGAACGTATTAATGGATCGATTCGTTGCCCGATTAAATCATCAAGTTTTTCAACAAATTTTTTCGACATTTCAACATTATTATCGTCGTTGTATGATTGATAAAATTCATTGGCAAATTGAAAAAGTTTTGATTGAATTTGATGATAACTGGATTCAATATCGAAAAACATTGAACGTTGTTGTTGTTGTTGTAATTGATCAATAGATGTCACTATATCATTGGTCATTCGACAATTTTTATCATCATCATTATCATTATGAATTTCAGTAGTAAAAGTAGATAAAGATTTCAGATATGAATAATCAATATTTGCCGAACCAAATAAATTCGTAGCCATTTGATTAATATTTGTTTTGTTCGATTCACAATTAGTCGATTTCCACCATTCCAATGCATTATCATAATTTTCAATATTCAACAAACAATTTAAAATTCTTTTACGAAAAAAATTTACCGTATAACTATTACAGATAAAATTTTTACTTGAACTAATTAAATTCAATGTATTCAGATTAGCTGCGGATGATTGTTGTTGTTGTTGTTCACCACCGACATTGATTCCATTATCAATAACTTTATCCTGTAATAGATTTCGATATTGAATTAATGCACGTTCATAACGGCCATTTGCTTCATCCGTAGCTGCTTTAATCCAAACAAATTTTACGGCCAAATATTGTTTAACCCAATTATAATAACCACGTATTGTTTCCGATGCTTTCATCTGTATCAATGCATCGATCATTAACAATAAAATAAATTCAATTTCATCCAATGTAAACAATGTACGATCAGATTGATAATTACGTAACAATTCCTGACCATGATGAACAACAATACTTAATTGTCCAACTTTTGAAGCCAATACCATTATCGAACGACGATTACGATTTAGCCATTCTGAACAGGTGGCACGATTCTTTTTAAAAAATTGTTTTGATAATTTTGATGAACAATAAAGACGAAGTGAATTACCATGTATAGCATTATAGATAAGTTTATCAAAATTATCCATAATCATCAATAACATATGAATACGAATTGTATTCGGTTTCGAAGTTGTCATTTGATTATTGTTCGTTGCGTTTATCTGTAAACGATTAACATTTGAATTGGTTGAAATTTCAGCCACAAACATTTTGATTAATGATTCAATTTTAGTAAATGTATCTTGTGGTTTTCCTAACGGTGTTTTCAAACGATTTTCAATACAAAGTTGAACAAATTCGAAACAAATCCAAAATATTGCCGTCCAATAATTATATTGAAATATTTTTATCATATCCAAATTATTTGATATTAATGGTAAATAACAAAGTGTTGATCGTATTTGATTCGGTATTTTTAATCGTTCATCATCAATAGATGCATATAATGTACGAAATAGCCAATTAAATGAATTATCATCATCATCACCATTACCACCATTTTGTATGAAATCAAAAAATTTCTGAAATGTTAATGCAGAAAAATGTTCCGATGGTTGTTTATTCATTACACATACAATGGTTAAATGTAATTCTTCTGGATGAATGAAAATTTTATTCTGTATAGTATATGATTGTTGAATAGTTTTTGCAATACGACGATTTGTTTTTGTCATTGAACAAACAGGTAATAATGATAATAGATCAAGAAACAGATGGTTAATATTATTATCAGTATGTGCTAAATTAAATTCACATGCTCGACGATAATTATAAAAAACTTGCCAATATAATGATAATGATTGATCATCGATTAATGGCATTAAATTTTTGGCAATCGTACATGATAATCGACATATTTGATAATCATTAGCAAAACTATATTCCGAAACAATTTCAATCAATTCAACAAATTCATCCAATGCAATAACAGTAGTCGATTGTTTATTTACTGTACCAAAATATTGAACAATATTTTCACATAAACGTAGACAGACAATAATTGAATCCATTTTCAATTTATTAATCGATAAAATTGATTTTAAATTTTTAATAATATCAACAAAATAATTGCTTGCATGTGAATTTGGTGAAAAACGTAATGAACTGTTGTTGTTATTGCTGCTTGATATATTTATGGCAGTGTTTGCTAATGATGATTGCGAATGATGATTATCTAAAATTGAGCCAATATTGGATAATGGAAATATTGAATTCAATGCATTGGAATTGGTTGAATATCGTAAAACATTATTATTGTTGTTGTTGATCGATGATGATGATTGATTAACAAACAATGAACTTTGCGGCAGAAAATTATGATGTTTTTGACAATATGAACAAAATAAATATAATAATGAATGATGAATAGATGAATATTCATCAGCTAACCATTCATTAGATAAATTTATATGATATAACATTAATTCCAAAAAATTTGGTGATAATGCTAACATTGCAATCAATGAATGTTTTGTATTGGCAATTTCGGTCAATAAAATCAGATCAACATATAGCCCGATTAAACATTTTTGTTCATTCGTTATAATCGAATGATATGGTTGATCTTGTTGTGGTAAATCTAAATTCTTGATAATTGGAACAAAATTTTCATTTTCATTTTTTTGCTTGATTTTTTGTAGAAAATTGAATGACACTTTTATATTTGATAAAATATGTCGATATGATTTATCAATAATTTCAACACTTTTAATTTTCAATAAACCAAAAAATAACGATATAAATGATTGTTGAACATTTTTATCCATTGAAAATTTTAATGATTGAAATTTTAAACAAAAAAGTTTATCAACAATTTCATCGTTAATATTTTTGGAATTTTTTACGAACAATCGAATAAAATCCAATCCAGTTATAATAGATTTTTTCGATGATATTTGAATATCCATTATATCGAATAAAATTTGACAATAATCATGACAATCTTTTTCCAATAAACGAAAACAAATATCCGCATCAAATAATATACTGAATGTTTCCATTAAAATGATTATCGATTGATTACATTCAATTAATAATTCTTCAAACATTGTTAATGATTTATATGGTGATAAATTAATAATTACTTTAATTATAATTGCCATTGAATCAATACAGAATTGAAAATTTTGTTCCGTATTTACTAGCATCAATTTTTGACATTCTTTACGATTTTCCATAAAAATTTTACGATAAAATATGGCAAATAATCGTATACGTAATGCCATTGTATGTAATCTTGAATTTATTGATTCAACATTTGCCTTCGATGACGATTCAGTTGTTCTTTTCAAATTAAACATTGATTCATGAAAATATTTTTCCACATCTTCAATAAATGATCGTAATAACATATTTGAAAATTTTAAATGATTTTTAAAATCAAATGATAATATTATATTTTCAATTAAATATAATGTCATTATTGTTTGATGACCATCCAAATACCAACCCAAAAGTATATCCATTAAATCTTCAATATGACGTTGTAATGAATTTGGTGAACGTTGACCAATCACAATAATTAATTCTAAAATCTGTAAAAATATTTCAATATTATTGGTTGTTTCTAATGATTTTTTCAATTTTAATTGAATGAAAAAATAATTATCCATAGCGATCATTTGACAATTGATCATTATCGATGATAAACAACGTAATATTATTAAACGATTTTCTTCACTAGTTGATTGTTGAAAATATATTTTAAATATCCATTCGAATAGATCGGATTTTGATGTTTCCAATGAATCGCATAATGCAGCCATACAATCGATCATTTCTTCAACAGTATTTTTATATAATTTTTCTTTGAAAATTTTTTCAAATGCTCGTAATGATTCGGTGAAAATACGTTCAATAAATATATTATTACGCATTGATTTAGCGGAACGATAAAAAATTGTTAAATCTTTGAATGTATTTGGCCAGGATTTTTTCTCGGTAAGACTCGTAAATGGACGTATTATGTTTAGGAAATTTTGTAAATCATTTTGACATTGTATCGGTATGGTTGTCATTCGTTGTTGTGATTGATTATTATTCTGATTATTCTGATGATGATAATATGGATGTTTTCCATGAGAAAAATTACCATTTTTATTGTAACCATTCGATTTTTCTGATTCATCCGTGTCATCATCCGCATCATGTTGTTGTTGTTGTTGTCGTTCATTCGAAACATTTCTTCGTCGATCATTATCACCGATTAATCCATTTGAATAATAGGATTTTATCGGTGTTGTTGTTGATGAATTTGAATGATAATTTCGATCTCTACGATTATCACCTCTATTTTGATGATTAAATTGATTATTATAACGATAATTTCCAGAACCACCGCCACCACCACTACCCATCGCAGCCGATTCACGACGACCAGACATTATTATTATTCAATTACAATTTCCTATTCGTTGTAATCAGATTGGTGAATCAAACAAAACAAAACAAAAAATCAGTTCAAAAATACCAACCTACCATTCATGGATAATTTAACCATATGAAAAGAATATAAACATTGAAAAGAAAGAAACAAAAAAAAACAAACAAGAATTTCGAAACTAAAAGAAAATTGGACCACAAATTTGTATTCGGTTGATCGAATTATTTTTATTTCACATTTCTTTCGTTTAAATCGACCAATTTTTTTCAATTACTTGACTTTCATCATCAAAATAAATTTAGGAAAAGTTGTTTAACAATTAAATCTATTTTATGATTATAACAATAAAGATTATGATTTTAAAAAATTATTATCAATGAATTTTGTTTTCGTATTTTTTACAAAAAGAAAAGAAATCTTTTAGCGAGGACGAAAAAGAAAAAGAAAATAGCCCAAAACAAACACAATCATGGAATCACGTGATAGCAATCAGACAATATTTCTACTCGTAAGGTTGGATTCGGTTAAAATGGTCGTGATTTTTAGCTTGATTCAAAAAATTATTCAATTTACAAATATCATTTTTGCGAGTAATTTTTTAATTATCAATAATTTTTTTTGTTTTGTGAGAACAAAATTATAAAATTGAAATTTAATTAAATGTGTGTAACATTTTTGCGGCAACGGCAATGTAGATAAAGTGTAATTTAGATTCAATTCGTATATTAATATATCACACACAACAAGATTTGAAAGAAAACAAACAAAAAGAAATATTAATGATCAAAATTCACAGTGAAATTAAAATAGTATAAGATTTATTGCGATTAAAGGCTTATTGATTTTAACAAGTTTTTTTGTGTGTGCAAAATCTCTAGGATCTAGATTCCCGGAAATTTCAATGTTTTTTTTTCTTCGTCTGTCTATCTGTCTTGTCTACAACGTTTTCTTTTTTTCGTTGTAATTTATTTTCATTCTATCAATATGTTCAATTTTTGTTTTTGTTTTGTTTTTATCGAAATTACTATTGCACGTATACACCATACGTTGAATGAATTGATAAGTTAATTTTTGGGATTGCAATTTATCATTTGATCACATCGATGGATGATTTTTTTTTAAAAGTTAGTTATCATTAGTTATCATCGTAGACCACGCATATTGACCATAGCCGGTGTTGGTTGATGATGATGACCATTATGATTATTATGATGATTATTAGCAAATGCAGCATATGCTGTTGGTGATACTGGTGGTGATGGATATGGCCAATAAACTAGATTAAATGGATTTGGATTGAATGGTGTTGTTGGTTGACCATATGCGGCGGCTGCTGCTGCAGCTGCTGTTGCCGCTGTTGATGATAAACGTGATGCGGCTGCTGCAGCCGCAACAGCAGCTTGTACCGCTGTATGTGGTTGTTGATTTTGTACATTGGATGTACCATTTAATGATAAAACCGGATGTTGAACATTATTGGTAGCTGCTGCAGCGGCAGCAGCCGCCGCCGCTGCTGCGGCTGCTGTTACCGAAGTAGGATGACCTGTTCCTAAATGACCAAATGAAAATGCTCCAAATGGTGGTGGTAATAATGGTGTAGCTTTGGAAAATTTAAAAAATACCAAAATTAATTTCATTTAAAACAATCATCATATTGTATATTTTATCAATCAAACCTGATGATAATAATGGTCGCTGTAGATTGAAACCACTTGTAAGATTCATATCTTCAACTGAACATTGAAATACTTCAATATAACGTTGTTTTTTACCAAAAATCATATAACGATGATGACGATGTTGTGCTGCTAATAATGCTGATTGTTCCGAATCCATCTGTATGAATGCTTCACCGGATGGTTGACCCTTTTTTTGAATGAATAACGAAAAAAATTTAAAAATTTAATTTTTGAAAAATAATCACGGGAAAGGTATTATAAATACCTGTGCATTATAAACCATATGTACACCTTGAAAGACAATATTTTTTGAATGTTCACCAAGAAATTCTAATATCTGTTCAACTTGAGCTTCATATGGTAAACCACGTAATTTAATACAATCTTTACGATTTTGTTGTTGTTGTTGTTGCTGTTGATGGTGATGATGATGATGAGGATTACTATGATGATGATGATGAAGTTGTTGTTGTTGTTGTTGTAATAATGATTGCGTGACCAGAGCTGGTATTATTGACTGTTGTTGTTGTTGTTGTTGTGTATTGACTTGTTGCTGATGATGATGATGATTATGTTGATTATGACAATTAATAAATCCATTCAAATCGGCATAAATTCTTGCTTCCATATTTCGATTAAAAACCTGAAGAAGAAAATTTTTTTCAATTTTGAAAAATAGTAAAACAAGAAAAAAGCAAAATTAATGAACAATTTAAGAGGGAAATGAAGAAAATAATCAGGATTAACACTTTCAATGATGATGATGAAAAAGTTAATCGCTTGTTTTGTCCATTTTAATTAAATACCTGTTGAACTTCAGCAGTTGTTGAACGAAATAATTCAATATATCTTGAACCAATTAATTCACGATGTTTTTGTAATGAACGTATAGCAATATCTTCTGTTTCAAATAAAACAAATGCATCACCTGTTGGACGGCCATCCGGTTTTCTTACAAATAATACACCTTCATCACCATGCATAACATTACATTGATGACCATTTGAAGTGAAAAAATCAATCTTTTTTTTGTAACAACAAAGAAAAAAAATATATAAATCATTATTTAAAACAAACAAACAAACAAACAAAACTAACCACTTGTTGAGCGGTACAATCATATGGTAGACCACGCATACGAATAATAGCTTGACCACCTTTCGATAGAAATGTTTGTGCTTCATTATTATTGCCTAATTGGAAAAAATCAATAGAAAAAAATTTTTAATTGGACAAACAAATGTAGATGAAATTTTTGTTCATTTTCAAATTTAATAAAAACTACATCATTTCATACACACTTACCACCTGCAACATTTAGAAAATCATCACCAGTTGCACGATAAACTTCAATATAACGTTGTCCAATATGATGTTTATGTCGTCGTAATGCCATATCACGATGTTCTTGATTTATAAAACGTACTAATGCTTCACCATTTCTTCTTCCTTGTACGCTTAAACATAATGCTACACCACCTCTATTTAAATTTTAAAAAACATTATTAATTATCATGATGAAATATTTAATTAAATATCAATCATTGGATCAAGGGAGAAAATCTATTTGTTTAAAAAAACAAAAAACAATAGATTTTCGTCTCCCTTCTTGTTCTCCCCTCTTTTTTGTTTGAACAAAGAACTTACTTGATAATATTTAATCCATGAAAAAAATTTGCAATATCTTTATCCGATGATTGCCATGGTAATCCACGTGCACGTACCACTGTATTATTATCAACAAATTCATTTTTACTACTGTAGTTGCAATGTGTTTTCGGTTTGTTTGTTTGTGTTGATGAAATCAGGAAAAAACAAAACAAAATTTAAATAATAAAATTGATTAGACATGATGATCGAATAGAAAAACAATTGAAATGATTTGAAATGAAATATTACTTACCAAATTCCTGGTTCCAGTTTATCATTAATAATCTGTAGCTCATCGAATCGATGTCCTACGATTGTTTTGTTTCACAGCATCCAAATTGAATCAAAAAAGGAAAAGAAGAAAATTTAAAACAATAAGATTTTCAATTTTTATTGAAAAAAAAACTTTTGTCATTTCAATTCATCCATTACAAATTCACATCATTTTTTTTAAATAGGAAAAATTCAAGTAACTTCTGGTCCAACAAGAATTATTAATTCATTTTCAATTTAGTAGTTTTATCGTTATCTCTTATTATCATTATTACAAAATGACAAACATAGAAAGCTATTATCATCATCCATTATTTCATCAAATATGGTAGAGCTGTTCATAAAGAAATGATTTTTACAAAACATTTTTTTCTGAATAATAATAACAACAATCATTATAATCGTTTTGAACGATTATAATGATTAACCGGTCTGAAGATGACAACAACCAAAAAACGATCATAACAACAACAACGATAATGACAAAGCAATGAATAAATTTCAACTTATGAATGACATAAGAAACCTATTATAATTTAGTTTTGAAAAAAGCAGGCAAACAATCAAGTTATACCATGATAATAATAATAATAAGAAATTCTGAAAAGAATTAGCGAAAAAAAAAACGAAAGAAGCGACTATAACAACAACAACAGATGGAAAATGGAGAAAATTCTGTTGGTTGAAGAAGAAGAAAAAGAAAAAGAATAAAGAAGGGTTCGATGTACGAAGCAAATCCATTATCATCATTGTTGTTGTTTGACCTTCTTCTTTCCAGGGAAAAAAATCATCATCATCATCATCAAGATTACGTAATCACATCGATGATCGCTATTGTTTAATAATGATGATCATCAAGATGGAGAAAAATGACAAAAAGAAAAACTTATTTTTCCATTTTGAAATTCACTTTTTAATTTTTTGGATTTTTTTTCTGTTTCTGTTCATTCGTTTTTTGTTCATTATTCAATATTCACATATAAAAAAAACATTTCAATTTAGTTCTGAATTTAGAAACTCATCATCATCATCATTAGCATAAACGTTTCTTCTTTCTTCGTTTGATCACCCAAACTGACAAATTCAATGATGATGATTATGATTATGAGCAAACCATGATTCGAATGTAATTTTTCATTCATTGATGGAAAAAAAAGAAATTTCCCCCGAAATTATGTTTTGTAAGGATTGGAAAAAAAAATCCTAAAATACTTCCGATGACGTTGATGATCATTAAATGTGGAAAAAAAAT